TTTATTTTTTTTTTGTTATTTTACCCCTTTTTTTTTTTTTTTTTTTTTGTAAGTAGCAACAAAACCCTCATTAAATTGCGACTGATGCAAAACTGGTGCAGGATTTTAACACTTGCCAACTAACAAGAGCACAACTCACCCTTTGAGGCATCTTTTGACCAGTTTCCAGTTAGTTTTAGAATAGATTTTTCGATGTTTTCATGTTACTTTTAAAACCAAGATATGTAGACCTTCTACACTTTTGGCTGTTCCTTAGACTAGACTAAAACCATTTGCAGTCAGAGCTCCCAGACTATGGAACAGCCTCCCTGCATAAATCAGATCAACTGATTCTAGCTGGTCTTGTAAAATGCTTCTTAAAATACATCTTTATAGACTGGCCTTCCTGTGATGTTTTAGAATACTTTTTCTAAATTTGTGTTTTTATTCTCCTTTAAATCAGGTTTTAAAATTTTGTCCTATGGTGACAGGTCTTCATTGTAGTTTTACAGGTTTTGTTTTTATTCTCTGTAAAGCACTTTGTGAACCCTGTTTTAGAGATGTGCTCTACAAACAGTTTCTTCTTATTATTATTCTTATAATGTGTAACCATTTTAGTGTGTTTTGCATCTCTGCAGGTCTTTTCTGTATTTGATTGTTGCTTATTATGCTGTCCACCTGCATGCTTACTCCAACACACCTCTAACAAAACAGCATTAAGAAGCTGTTGTTCTCTTTCTCATTCCAGCTAGTTTCCTTTTTACAGTTACACCAGCCAGGCCTTTTATACCAAGACTTAAACACACTAGGACGTTGTAACTTGTCCAGATCACCAAACCCAGTGTTCCTCAAGAGCAAAACCTGGTTCTACTGTATTGATCTACTCTGGCTTCCCTGTTGTTTCAGCTCAGTGAACAGTTCATTTGAAGGAATGTTTGTACAGCAGTGAGTGATGTACGGGGTGATTTAGAGCTCCCTCCAAGGTACAAGAGGAGGGGGTGGTTAGGGCATTATGACAGTAGACTTTTAGAGACCTGAGGGAAATAAATGGAGATTTTTCAGACAAGTTTTTTTTTAAATTGCAACAATCTTCTAGTTGATTACAGTAATTTTTGTTTTAACAATTTTAACAGCAGTAGTGATTGTAATTGTGGTTGCAGTCATGGTTTTTACCCTTGGGTGTGTTAACTGCTGTAGCTATACTACATGTGAAGTGATAAATATTCACACCCTGTATACTTGGAAGATAGAACGTTTATAGTTCACTTGACTAAGAGTAATCACAAACACTAACAGCACAAAAACTACATTAAAATGTCCATAGAAGGTTCTCAAACCAGTTTTTAGCATATTTTCTCATAATTTTCTGCTCTCCATTTCAATATTTGCCTGTCTTGAGGTTGCTCTATGAAACTCAACTTAAAGCATACAGTGCATCCAGAAAGTATTCACAGCGCTTAACTCATCCTCAAACTGTTATGTTACAGTTTTATTCCAAAATGGATTAAATTCATTATTGTCCTCAAAATTCTACAAACAATACTCCATAATGACATTGTGAAAAAAAAGTTTGTTTGAAGTCTTTGTCCATTCTGAAATGGGGCCATGAATGAAGAGTCAGAGGATCACCAAAGTCAGTGAAACTAATCACCAAAGGAACTTGAATATCTGTAGAAGAGTTCATGTCAATAGTTATTGAGATGTTTCACTCTGAACCACAAATGTGAAGCTGATGATGGTACAGGAGGGGGAGCTCAGGAGATCCCTGAAATAAATGGACTTCATCCAGTGGAGCTCATGAGGGAACCAAATTTCATGGCAACCAATGAATGCATGGACCGATTAGTGGATCGACTGACCAACACCATCATCACTATCAACTTTTAGGACCTTTAACACAAATAGGGCCATTTTGCACAAGTACATCTTCTTTGACAAATATTGGGAAAATCTTTCAAATCAAAAACAACTTACTAATCGATTTCAATACAAGTTGTCTAAATAAAGCAGCAGTTAATGATCCACTGTGTCAGACACTTGAGAAAATCAGTGACATGTCCTCAGAGAGAAGAGTTCATAGAGGTTGGGGAAGAACATGTCTCAATATCTAGGATGAGCAGGAATTTGTGCTTGAAAGCAGAAACAGGATTCCTTGTTACTTTCTCTGAATCTGAATTTACGTGTTTACTACAAAGTATATGGCAAGTTCATAGAAAGGCTGTAAGATGAGGATGTGATACAGGATAAGAAAACCACTGAGGCAGGCAAATTCACAGTGACGTTGTTGGTATGACACTATTGCAACATTTATCTGCAATAAATTTACCTCTTAATATGCAATGTTCATCCTTTTTTCCCATTTAAATACCATGGAGATATAGCTAGCAAGCAATAGCCTGAAAAATATTCGGTGACGTTTAGAAGTCTAAACGATTAATCCATTAACTGAGAAAATATCAAAATTAAAATAAATTTTAAAAAAAATTTAACACATTTAATTGGCATTTTGAAAAGATGACTGACCAGGTTTGATTTTAATCTTTTTATTGGTTAGGTCATCCAGCTACCTTACCTTTAAATAAGTAAATTACAAGTTTTTAAATATTGTCTTCAAAGAATAAAGCATAACTATAGGTCATTCACAGTTTAAACTATGAATAAAAAAAAAAGCCTCCTCCTAAAACACTCAAACAACAACATCAAACTAATAATAACTGAAAAGTAACACACTATACACAACTGAATCTATTAAATGACAAGGAAGTGGTGCAACGAACACAGCAAACACACCGGTGCTCTCAATGTTTATCCTGTTAGTTGAGCAGTCAGTTCATCTCTCTGTTTCATTCATGTCACTGAATCTTTCTGGGGCTTCCCTCTGTGTCTCCAGGGGTTGAGTGAGGGATGTGATTTGATGTAGGTGGGTGTCAGTATAGCGGTGGGCGCCGCAGGTAAGGCCAGTCATGATCATGACTTTTGGATTTAAAAACCAAAGGTGTTCTCGCCACTGTAGGCTACGTATAAAAAGCCATCCTCGTCCTTCTCTTTCTCGTACAGCTGCCCCATCGTGATGCTGAAACATGAAGGAAGATGCAGTGTTACTATGCGCTCAGGATAGCATCAGCCGCTACTGTCAACAGTGAACGTCTCCTACTAACAAGAGTTGTGTTTGAATGCAAAGCCTGGTGTATCCTACTCCTCTGTGCCACCGAGCTCCACTCTTGTCCACGGCTATTAAAAACACAGCAGTGAGCCACACTAGCACCATGTGGCAAGTTCCTTCATAATCATGAACGCACACACACTGTGGTTTATTTTGACTCAGTCCCACTTATACTGTCATACAGTCTAGTGCAGCGATGGAAAGTATTACTATGTACATCTACCAAGGTACTGTACTTAATTTAAACTTTGAGGTACTTTTACTTTACACAGATATTTCCATTTTCTGCAGCTTTACGCTTCTAGTGCAATAGATTACAGAGGGAAACACTAGGCAATTTTCAGATTGATTACTGATATTATGATGCATTATTACAGACTAAGCATCATGAAATGAGTTAGACACTGACGTTAAAAACATGCAGACTCCACACAGAAAGGCCCCGCTCAGGATTTGAACCCAGAGACTTGCTGTGAGGTGACAGTGCTATCCACTGCACCACCATGATGTGGGCAGGCAAAATAAACAAATAAATAACTAAATTAAATAACATAATGTCCACAGGCATGTGGTTTAATTTGCAGCATTTCAGGGCAAGTGATTAACTGATTATGAAGGCGGTTCCCATTTTATTTTCTCTTGCTCTGTGTGCATCTGTGGACACGTGTTCACTAAGCATGTATGTTTCTGTTCAGGCTTAATCTTTCTCTACTTATCCTCCCAACATGCAAGTAAGTCCTGACATGAATTTGAAAATGAGACATACAGAGACAAATATGAAAACAACGGACCAGTTTTAAATATACCCATCATGTTGTTGTCGATGTGAAAGGGCAGAAAATGCGTCCAGATTATGTTATTACTGCTAATTTAAAGTTGTTCTTTTGTTTTGCCAAATCATATTATGTCCTCATAGAACAGCAATTGTTCTGAGGACCAGTACTGGTCCACAGACTGGGTATTGAGAAAGTCTGAAGTAAACATAAACAAGAAATCCCCCTCCAGTATCCTGACCTAGACTGAGGCACTGTCTTGTCCACAAACAGGAAGATGGCTTTCTCTGAGGGCAGCTGGATGCGTTTCCTGATGATCCACATGAACTGAGCCACTGTGATGTCGGATGGGACCAGGTACTTCCTCTTGTCAATGTCCACTATCTGTGATCCCGACACTTTCTCCACAATCACCTGACAAACCAGACATGGTTATAACCAACACGCAACACACAATGAAACAGAGATCTTCTAAACCATGTATCACTCACCGGGACCCTGTCAGGGTACTTGTTGCGGATTTTGGCAGACTCGATGCAACGATGTTCTGCAGGACAAAAAATCAACAGTTATTTTAGGCTGCTGAATGTTTTATGTGACAACAGAGAAATATGACTCTTATTCTGTACTTCCTCTTCTGTACAGACACCAGAAGCAACAAGTCATGGACAAAGATATTTGACAGCTGAGGTGTGAGATTCATTGCAGATTAAGATGCACTGGGACTGTCTGAACCATACCACTAATAAATCTGGTCACTCAAAAAAGGTGAACGTGCCTCTGATAACTTGAGGCCATTTTGCATTATTTTTAAAGGTTTTGTTTAAACAATTAGATTTATTGACAAAAATTATTTAATGCAACATGACTAGCTACATAGAAAATGAAAAGATGAGATTAAGGCCGCAACTAAGTTATTTTTATTATTAGCTATCGACTACTTTCTTGATAAACCACCTAGTGATTTGTCTATAAAAAAGTCAGAAAATAACAAAAAAAAAAAAAAAAAAAAAAAAAAAAAAAAAAAAAAAAAAATGCCTGTTACATGTTTCACAGAACCCAAGCTGATGTCTTCAAACATCTTGTCCGACCTAGAGCTGCAAGTTTGTTCAACCCATCTACCACAGTGTCTTTATTTTTTCTTGTATAGGTGTGCTGTATGCACAGGTATACAAGAAATATACTAAACATACTGTTTCCCCTTAAAAACAGTAAATCTTCACTTTGTAAAACTTAAAAAAATACTGACAAATGATTAATCAGTTATCAAAATAATTGTCACTTCATTTTCTATGATTGATCGGTGCATGATCCTTGCAGCTTTAATGAGATGCCAAGTCAGCGTCTGTTCTGACCAAAGAACTTTATTTTTGTGTCCAGGTGACGCCTACAAGGCGGGTGGAGAGAGAAACATAAGATGTTTCGCTGCATGAACAGACACATTTCGGCTAAATTATCCAACAGCTAACAGGAGCGCACCTCCACGCAGAATGGAGGCTTAGCACCTCGCTGTGTCAACATCCACCATCAGCCTGTAAACAGGTCGTCGTTCGCTGGCAGTAAGAGCAAATACACGATGATTTGCTCGCCTACACTAACTCAACGCCTCGATTTTAGAGTGGAAACCGGCGAGGTGGCCTTTACATGAGCTGACATGAACATTTACATCGATATTTATCGTGTGTGCTGTAGCTTACAGCTAGCTTGCCAACTACCACAGTCCGCTTTCTAAACAAAAGCCGGAAGGACAGGCCGGCGTTTGGCCTACGCCAAGTGGGATTATATTTTTAATAATACACCCGGAATTATTTCTCAAACGACAAAATACATGATTTCTCTTCATAATGCGGGGAATTTTTTAACACTTTCACCTAAATAACACCTGCCTCCACCCTTACCCAAGGAGTGATCCTCTTTGAACATCCATTTCATGTTTGCCGTTTTAGGACTCGTTTCTCTTGATGTGGCAAATAACACACGCGTCTCAAAGTTAAGCTTAAGTAAAACTCTGTCTTTTGTATCCTCTTAAATATAGCTGTTAAATTACAGATACAACGACGAAATCTCGAACCACACAATAAACAACCGCCTCTTCGCTCACCATCAGCCAGCTGAGCACTACCCCGACGTCACTCCTGGACTGTACCATTCCCCGGCACAGAGGAGGGGGAACCACAGGGAAAAAACTAGGGCGCTCGCCAATCTTATGTTTAAATAATCAAAATTAAAGACTCACAATTAATAGTATAAGTGAAATTTACGTCTTGAAATACATTTCAAGGCTTAGAATAGATCGATGCTTTTCGAGTGGCAACCTTTTGTACATGATTTTTATTTGATCATACCTACTATTTCTTGCTTTGCTAAGAACAAAAACATAACCACATTACGGAGACACTTAGGTGCCAAACACAACTGCGTTTTAGGAAACAACAGTAATATGAAAAACGCAACAGCATTTCATAAAGGCAGGGCACACCCTGGACAGGTCGTCAGGTTATCACAGGTCTGACACCAGGCTGGCACACAGATACATACAATCACATACAAATTCACACTAAAGGACACTTTGTTGACAAGCTAACATAGGCTACCTGAAAACTGCGGCTGCGAGGTTCAGACTCGGAACCGCTGTGATCAAATTCACATTTAATCAGATTCTTTGCAGTAATAAACTGTAACCTACATTACTGAAAGCCCCACTGTCATTACTCACTATACTAAATGAATGCCAATGCAACAACATTCAACCTGCAACAACCGTTTTTCCACTTGAGGGCGGCAGAAACAGGGTGTGAACACAAATGACGTCTCACGGTGAACTTGCCAGCATATTGAGTATTGCTGTGTATGTACAGCATCATACACACATGCAGTAGTTATGCAACACTATCATTCATTTGGTGTGGCGTTCACCCAATATTCAGGTGATAATTCTCTCTAAGTTCATCATCAGAGATGCCATTCACAGTCACACTATTTTCACATTGTTAGTGTAAAATATCAGTTATAGCCCCTTCCAACTAACAAAAAATAAAGAACTGCAATTTCTATACAAAATAGCCTACAGCCATGGATAGATTATAAAAACTAATTTTAATTTGCATAGTACAGACTCTCACATTTCAAATTTGCCTCAAAGGTCTTTACAGTCTCTATGGAATATAACTCCCTCAGTGATTAAGAAAGAAAAACAGGAAGAAACACCTGAAAGAGCAACAGAGGACGGATCCCTATTCAAAGATTGGCAGACTTGAAGCAAGAATAGCCATGTCACAATATCCTACATCAAAAATTGTACTTATTTTAATATCAAAATTGTACTTAAATATACAGTACACTCTTATTGTTACACCACTGACACTAGATTAGCCTTTTACATTATTTGGCCTGTTAGCAATTACAAAAGCAGTCTTTGCATCTAAATAACCATAAGTTTAAATCAGTGTTATCTATATTGTTTATTTCATCTTCAGAAGACAATTAAAAAATCACAGTGTTAAAATGCAAACTTGTAATATATAGATAGGTTTAAAGACACATGAGTGAAGGTTTGTTTGGTTTATTTTCCATCTGTGGGTTGAGCTTTGGTCTGGTTGTCAGGTGGCAGCGCCTTCCCCAGATGGTGTCCTACAGTGATGCCGTAGGGCTGCAGCTTTAGCTCCTCCCTCACTTTGGGTTTGAGCATGAAGCCCCCCTGAAAGCTGAGGTCAAACAGCTCACTGGGGGCAAACGTCAAAGGCTTTTCTGCCAGCACGCCTTTTAGTCTGGCTCGCCAACCTTCTAGCATTGTGGTTCGCACACTGGGAGGACAGTGGGCCACACTCCAGAATATCTGAGGAGCAAGAACCTGAAATCCACAGAAGCGCAGAATGCCGCTCTGACAGAAACAAATAAACAGGAGAGATGCTGGTTAACTTCTGTCCAGCGGCACAGAGTGCTTCTTAATTGTTAACATTGGCCTTATTGTATTTTCCCCCTATTAGTTTAAATGGAGATGCAGACAGGAAGCATGAGGAAAGACAGGTATAACATTCAACAAAGGTCAGCCAGAATCAAATCAGGGTGGTACAATTATACATCTAAAACCATAAGTCACCAGGAAACTCCTTTAATTCATTCACTGCTGTGTATACAAGGTCTGTATAACAGGATTTCTATACGAGGTGTGCCAGCTTGGGCTAGGGTATGTATTGAGCCATATATTTCTGTCCAAACCTGACCTAAGTCCGAGATTGTGGTGATCAAACCTGACAAGCATAGTGTATTTCATGTCTGAACCCAACCTGAGCTTGACACAGCTGAGTTTGTGTGGTGTTTATATATGGATCGTGTACGTCTAAAATTATGTGTTGTTGTGCACTTAACCAACTCATCATTTTAACTTTTAAAAGGCCTAGCACATTAAATTAGCCTACACTAAAGAAAAAGCATGGATTCATTTAGAGGTGCAATTACACCTGTTTAGCCTAAAGTTCAATGTAAGAGGTTGAACCCAACCTGAATGTGAGCATGATTTCTACATGTGTCTGATCCTGCCCCAAACCCTCGGGTACCAATGGGTCCTGTTGGACTCGGTTCGGGTATCTACCCTCTAGTTTGAGTCTGTTAATTGTTCCAGACTCTAGGTAAAAAAAATTAAAAAATAAAGATGATCAGCTTTTGCCGTACTTCCATCTTGACTCAAGTCTTTTCAGTCAGCCACAGATCTACAAACATGGTCTCTGACCTTAAATCTCCACATAAAACCCACTTTTATACATTGGCTTTTCCATTTCATTTTTTACAATTAATTCTTTTACTGTGAAATAGCGTTTGCATGCCTAATTTCTGTATTTATGTTTGTTTTACTCTTTTATTGTGTTGTATGCAGTAAAATTGTTTGTAGCTATTATTTAACTCGTCCTTGTGCTCTCTTTTAACTGTTTATATGCTGTAGCTTATTATTATCAGACAGAAAACACTGGCGTTCTCCATTAGCTGTTTCTCCATTATAAGTATTTTTAAGTTTGATAAATACTTTACACTAACATTTGTAAGAAGAAATGCTGTAAAAGTGAAGGATTTTTACCTCTATATTTCACTTAAGTCATTTTTTTAGCAGTTTGATAAACATGGGTTCTCAACCTTACAGACCTGAGCAAAGGTCATCTGTGTCTCTCACCTGTAGAGGCCACAGGGGGATGTTGATGTCACCATGGACACCGTCAGGCTGGAACATAGTGTGCATTGCTCCAGTGGTGAAGGACAATATTGCTTTTTTATCCTTCAAGGAAAAAGAATTATACAGTGATTACACAGAATAATGACATAAAAAACACTGATTTGTACTGTAACTGCTTAAATAGCTGCTGATCTGATGGACTCACTGGACTATATTAATAAATAAGATAAGAAAAAATAGATTAACAAAAATAACAACAAATCTAATCATCATCAAGTTGAATAAAGAGCCCATTTAGATGGTTTAGATGAGATAACTAGAGCTCACTGACTGTGACAAACACTGATCTCATCTAATTTAATATAAAACACAATATCTTTGAGCCAGCTGTTACACAGGGAAAGATGTTTACATTTAAGCAAGCTGAAGAAGGGAGGAAGAAAGTTTTATCATTATCATCATTTTGAATCCCTGGGTTGGATAAAGCGCTCTTGTCCTCGTAATACAGACCGTGAAAATACCGTTATCGTATAGCTTATCCAGGCTGTAGGCGAAGCCATGTGTCAGCACTCTGTCTATCCAGCCCTTTAAGATGGCAGGCACACTGAACCAGTACATGGGAAACTGCAGGAAAACAACAATTTTCAGTGATATATATAGTATGCAGTTTGTTTGTTCTTTGCTCTGCATAATATCTGTTCTGTACTTTAGATATGTGCATTTTGTTTTGTGCTGTTCTGCACGTGTTATGTACCTATTATTGCATGACAGAATAAAAGCAAAAAACCATTCATTCCTTTAATTTTATTAACTTGTTAGGGCCAGAGCCAGAAAAGGCTAAATTTAATCTGTTTTTTTTTCTGTGCAAAGTTTCCTAAACATTACAAGAAATATTAGTTTAGGCTCAGACTGAATTATGACCTGGAAGATGACGAGATCAGCCTCCTTTATTTTGCGCTGCTCTGCTACAATGTCGTCGCGGAGGCGGCCCTCCTTCCAGGCGTGCATGGACTCCTCTCCGTACCTGAAATGCTCTGGTTTCTTCAGATCACCTAGACATGACAAACAGCTTTAGAAATTAACAAATACAGATGGTGATACAGTGTATAACAATGGTGAATTGAACCATGTATTTACTTTATGAGCTGTTTTTAAAGACATTCAACTTTAGTAGAAACCAGTAGGCTTGGAGCTGAGAGACAAAAACAGGGTAGCGAAGGGGGGTGGGGGCCGACAGACTAAAATGTTGGTTTTAGTCCTTTCTTGGGATTTATTGACAGTAAGAAAATACAGACAAACCCTATCCTGTATTTGCGTAACAGATTTCAGCGTGAACCCAGTATCCAGATGTGAGGATAATTTGTAAAAAACGTAGACTCAATACAAAGTTGCACCACTGCCTCTCAAATCCTGACTTGCATATTTTTTAGTTATTAAAAAGAAAGGGAGACAGGGGGATCACCAATGATGTCATCCTGTGTGGCTATGGCAGTGAAGTTCATGGCATACAGGTCTGACACAATGACCTTGTATCCCTGCTCTGTCAGCTCCTGAACCGCCACATCACGAGCCGCTGCGTTGAATGAGGCTGGGCTTTGGTGGGCGTACACGATCAGAGCTGTCTTCTGAGCTCAGTCACACACACACACACACACACACACACACACACACACACACACACACACACACACACACACACACAGATTGTGTCTCCATAACTTCAGGGGACATTACATTGACTTACAATCATTTCCTGGAGTGTTACCCTAACCCTAACCATAAACCAAGTCTTCAGTTCAGTGACTAATATCAGGACTTGCTTTTTGTCACCAAAAGGAACATCATGTGTTATTAAGTGTTACACAGACATTTTGCAACAAGTAAATTTTTTCAGTACCACCTTCTAATAAATTAAGAGTTTTTAACTATTTATTCTTATATTAAAGGATAAACTAGATTAAGTCTCCACATGCTTTCTTGGAGCATAAAATTTTGGAAGGGGTGGTCAGGATGGGGCACATACTCAGAGAGGGGTGGCACATTTAAAGGTAAATTAAACCCCCAGTTATATGAAATAATAAACAATACATTATTAAGAATCAAACAGTTTATTCTGTTTTAAACAAAACACACCTAGTTCTTTCTTTAGCTATTTTTTGGCTGTGCTCTTTATTTACTCCTGGCTGAAAACATCGCTGCTGCACAAAATACACTTGAACTACTAAAAGTAAAAGTACACACATTATGCAGAATAGCATATTTAACATTAATGTATCATATTACTGTAATTACTGAGGTATTATTGTGTACATCACATTTATTGTTGCAGCTGGTAAAGAGGGAACTAATTTGAACTTCCCTTATAATGTGAAGTACCACTGCGTAGCTTGTAAATTTTCCACCAGAGATAAATAGTCTTATGATAATGTTATATTTTCCTTATTAATCTGATTCTAAAAAGTAACTAGTAACTAAAGGTATAAAAATAAACGTAGTGGAGTAAAAAGTACAATATTTGTTTCTAAAAGGTAGTGATGTAGAAGTATGAAGTAGCACAAAATGAAAATACTCAAGTAAAGTACAGATACCTCAAATTTACTTAAAGTACTTAGTTACAAATGTACTTAGTTACTTTCCACCACTGCTTGATAATTCGATAAGTGTTTGCATGTTTATAGGTTGGGACATTTATTATTACTACAGTCAACAATCGGAACTACTAGGATGAAGACCTATTTTATATTATTACAATTATTTCTTCTGTATGCTCTACAAACACCCCTTCCCCCACATCTATCCATCTATTATCCAGCTTGTTGCTGCCAGCAGCTGTAGCCTGTAGAAAACCAATGACGGCAGTAGCTTGCTAGCTAACAGTAGCTATAGCTACATTGTTACGCAACAGTGACTTGACATTTTTCCACAAACAATGGTGGCATTGGGCAGCCTGCAGGTTTTCACTTTACCTCAAAATTCAACAGGATAGTTACGTTAATATCAAGCCTATTATCTTGGGTGGCGAAAAAAACTCCTTTTGACTCTTTATCTTTTTGGTGAAATAATGTTATCCACAAAGGACGAAACGTGGCATGAACAAAGCTACGTTATGTGTGCTGTGGAGTGCAGGCATTAAAGTCATCCTGAAAAACTAAATATGAACCGACAGCCTGATACCGTCCCCTTTATCGCTGGAAGCAAATATGACATTTGCATGTAAAGTGAGCCTCAGATCGCTTCCTTCCTTCCAGTCAATCAGATACTAGCATTGACCTCATTCACATAATGCATACGGGTTTGCTATACTGGTAGGGACATACGGTCCACATGCAAAACTACGCTCTTGACTAAAAGTAAAGTGAGACTAAGCACTGCTACTAGTTGATTTAGTATAAGTGCGCTTTTGCTACATGGTTTGAAAAGTGCAGCAATCTGTGCAGACTTTGGTTTGTGCATAGAGAATGAAGCGATTTGCATGTATCCTACCGACAGGTGTATAGGAGGTCAGTAACAAATGAGTGGAGACTCACCCATGACAGTACACGTCCTCTGCTTTCTCCACTGTAGACCTGGTTGGCTTTCTTTGGATGACAATATGCTTAGACTGGATCAGATGGGGCAAATACCTATGAACATCACACACCCAGGGAGGAAAGTAAGGCTATATGACCGGTTTAGTTAAGTCGTTTGAAAGGGAGGGAGGAGTACTGTTTGTGTACGTGTGCGTGTGCGCGCACGCCTGAGCCAGTCGGGCTGTGTGAGAGAATGGTTGATTTTATTTGGCCCTAAAAAGAATGTATGGGTCATAAAGGGAATAGAGTCATAAGGCTTAATAAGTCACAAGAGCCTGTCAATGTGCCGAAAGCTGGGAAAGTAAACTTTTCACACAGAATAATATAATATAATGTTTTGAGGGGGAAATGAATAAGGCAGCCTGTTCTAATGTTAAATAAAAGTTAAATCTATAAGTCTTCGCTTTTTAACCAAGCTTTTGCTTTTTTTTTTATTGTGGTTTGTAAAGTTTCCTTACAACTTTCACTGGCAAACAAAGGTTTCCTATTGTTCAAAGTTCCCATGACACCCGAGCTGAGGAAGATCATGAGATACAAGTGAGAAGCTCCAACTATTACTGTAAATAGATTTTGGGGTGAGGTTGTTTGGCTAAGTGTGGCTAATTTAATTATCACTTCCCTCTCCCGTTTGGCTTTGGATATATGATTCTTTGTAATGTAGCATGTACAAAAGCATGTGAAAGTTTTTGTTAAATGTACAGCTGCACCTTGTGTAAAATGCAAATGTTCACATGTGAAAGGATGTTTACATATCACATGTAAAATAATATGAAAATCATGCCTTGAATGTTAAAACACATGAAATTTAGCTACTGAATATGTGCCATTTGCACATAGTGTGTAAAAAGTACCTCACATCTGGTAAATTCATGTTTTTTTCTCAGTCTCTCTGAGACACAATAGCGCCAGTTCTTCTTCTTCTGCAGGACATTAAATGTAAATGGGGTGACACTGAGCTGGCTGGTTGTGAGGAGTTTATATTTAAACTGCATGGAATTATTAGTGTTATAGAGGTCTTCTTCACATGGGTTTTGTTCCTGTACATATACCTGTGCTGTACTGTAACAAGTCAAAATGTCTGATGTGAAAATAGCATTTGTGTTATGTTAAAACAGCCTTTACTGTGTCACTTTAAGGGTAGCATATTAAAGTGCTTTTAATATTAGAAATGGACAATAAACCCTCAGTGCAATACCTGTAAATATAGATCCGTTAAACCCAGACTGTGTGTATATACTGTATATATATATATAAGGTCTGTAAGTGCTTTACTCCTATTTTGTCTCTTTTCCTAATGCACATTCCCCTGCATTTATGTACCCACTGAGAGCCGCTGTACCAGAGTCAAATTCCTCGTGTGTCCGACGCACCTGGCCAATAAAGCTCATTCTGATTCTGAGAAAGGTGTTTAAAAAAAATCAAGTACATACAGTTAAAAAGAATTTTGTATATGTGGAGTTTGTGTTTGTTCATCACAAACCATACAGTTAAAGCTTTGAGTTCTCCTTTTTTGTCCCAGTTTACTACTGGTCTGTGCACTCAGACACCTGGAGGCAGAGATATTGTGTAGTGGGTGGGACACATCCTCGGCACTGTGCATGTGAGCCTGGACAGGAACGTCACATGAAAACTTTGTCGACTGTTAATGTTTTGTATGGGAAGAAACTGTTAAGACGGCAGCACACAGGTACTGCAACAGGTGTTACGTCCGTTCTTCTGCCGCTAGGTGAGAGAGCGGAGAATGACTGAACCCAAACTACAGGGAGCGACTCAGAACAGAGATTTATTACACAAAAATATAATAAACAGCGAAGAGAGTCACCCTGGACCGGGCGGGAAGAGTAGCCAGACGGGAGAGACAGCAGGAGCCAGGAAGGAAATCAGTGGCGAGAGCTCATCTCCGAAGCAGGAGATGAAGACGTGGCAGAGGAAGGGTAGTCAGCTTTATGCCTGTGAATAGATGAAGACAGAGGGGGAGGGTTACTTAGAGTTGGTCGAGTCTCAGAGGAGAGAGGGAGAGAGCCCCGGGACGTATCACGATGGAGACAGAGGCTGGAGCTGGCGAGTCGCCACCGGGTATCCGGAAGGTAGTGTGGCGTTCTGACGATTGAGCTGGTGGCAGTGGTGGAGCGCCGGTACAAAATGAGATGGCGCCAGAGAGCTGCTGCTGGAGAAGAGTTGTGCAGAGCGGGTCGCTGGGTCTTAATCCTCTAGTAGTGGACTGTAGAGTAAGAGCAGCAAGAGGGGAAGGAAGAGGAAAAAGATCTCAGCGAGTTCCTTCTAGTGGAGCCGATCTTCGTCTAGCGGACGAAACGAACTGGCACCGCAGCAGCCTCCGACCGGGTCCTAAGTAGTGCAGTTCTCATCAGTGGGATTAGCCACAGCTGGGAGGTATACCTCTCTCCTGGACCTGAGGAGAGAGGGACCTGGGGCCAAGAGAGACAGGGAGCAGCAAGCAAACCTGACAGGTTGTTACGGAACTGAGTGCATTACCAGGCAGCAAATTAAAAAGCAAATTGTCATCTTTAGTTTCTTTTATAATAGAATTTCTTTAAATTTGGATTCACATGTTCAAATAGCAGAACATGAAAGGCTTTAAATGAAAACTTTTTTTGCAGAGCTTTAAAAAAATGCCCCATGTATCAAATGTGATAGAAAAGAAATAGAAATATTCTAAATAATATGGCACCTCTATTCCTATATGCCTGGACTGTCTGTTTATGCATATATGGTAAATAAAAATCATGAATCTTGAATTTTGAATCATGAATTATATTTTGGATTTTGTTAAAAGGTTTAATAAACATCTCAGTTCTGAAAAATTACAATGTTCTGGCTATTTTTTGATGTGTCAGGCTTTACAGGGTTAAGACTGCAGACAACATGGTGTCATAACCTGACTCCTACAAAAATGGGAAGTGGACATATGAGCAGATAAACTTATTTGTTGGTATAAAATTCCTCCTTCAGTTTCCATCCGCTGTTTTTGCTGAACTGCAGTGGAGGAAATGTAAGAAAATACTAAAAGGACAGTATCTTTGGTATATCCTGGCTTCATTTGTCTTTTGAGGCTTTTCAAATATGTGCACAGGTGCCAGGGTCATCTTTCACCAACAGTAACTACTTGTCTAGTTGCCATATAACACAACAAGTCATTTGTTACTGGTAAAACTTCATAACAAGGGTACAAAGTACACGTGTTTGTGTTTTAACTAATGCAGATGTGTTTAATCCATGAATTAATGAAGGCTCTGTCATGAATTACTTTCATGCACCATTAAGAAACAAGTTCACACATGATTTTTTATGCTTCAAAATGAGTTGGAATCCAGTTACAGAGATAAGGAAACTAAAAAGTGGACCATTAATGTGTTATGCCTGATTCAGCACTACTGGAGAAATCCCTCCAAGTGTCTAACCCCCAACACAAGAGTGTCTTTGCCAAATGTTTTACAGACTAACGTGGATTAACCAATTTGTTTAACAAACAATGTAATCAAAACACTTTTATATATCTCTGGCAATAGTATGGTTTCTGTTCTCACAGAGATCACATGCTCTGTTTCATGTAGCTAATGCTGTTTAGTAGTATACAAATTAATGTAAGAAACACTGTGAAATAACATTGATTAACTGTAATCCATTAACTGATCAGATAAACAACTGGCTTTATTAAGTCATTTCCTAATGGTTTCAATTCATGCATTAAATCATCTGGCTTGTGTATTAGTTCTGCATTACTTAAGCATGTGTTTTATTCCAGTATTATAAATTGTTGCCTACAGTACACTATCTATTTTTGTATATTTTTCCACTTCCAAACACTTTTGCTCCTTCCATCATTGCAGAACAACTTGTAAAACCTTTTCAAGCTGCTTTATATTAGAAACTAGCTTGGCTCTATTGTTTTCCACATAGTGACACATATAATATAATTGTTTAATTATATTTACATCATTTTTGCTGTACTTTTACTACTTACATTACTAAGTTGAATGTGTCATTTCATTTTAATATGATTTTGTTCCTTTTTACATATATTATAACACTGTTACATCAGGCACTTAAATGTTTTTTAATTAGTATGATGCAGACAGAATAAGTGACATTTACCTTTTATGTAACTTTAACCCTCCTGTAAGCACTATGTAAAAGTTTCCTAAATGGTTTATAACACACTAAAATGTATTTTTAAGTGGATATAAGGACATCGAAATGTTTATTAATGGACAGTTATAACTTCTCCCATGGTGACAGTTTTGTTTTAAATAATAGTGAATTTTATTTTATTGTTATTCATGAATTGTCTATAAACTTGGATGGGTGCCTACAGAAGGAGTCAGCTTTTTGTAAATTAATTAATGAACAATTATATCATTATAGTCTTTTATGGACATTTATTAAATGTTTAAACTATGAAGTGCTCTTAAATGCCAAATGGGGTGAAAGTAGCATTGTCGGCTACATGTAACAAATATCAACAGATATTTGTTTAAATCTGTTAGCATAAAACACAAGTAATAATTTGTGTTGAACACATTATAATATAACATAATCTGTAATGTCGCAGTCAGCTTCACCACAACAGAGTTTTTATGTGTACAACATGAACCACTGTGGATTTTCTTGGAGTTTTCTTTAGTTTGTCGTACACTCACATGAAATATGATGGATGTAACACAGGAAACCTCAGAGCTATGGGGTCAAAGTGCAGCTACAATTCCATTGTTTCCATGTGTTTCTGCTTTCTGCTGGAATCAAAAGACACGGTGGGGACTTGTTGTGCACTGCAACGGAATAATGTGACAAAACTGCTGTGGAAGCCTGTGTCCCTGTGTTTCTCCTTGTGTCTTCCTTAACCTGGACATAACCTTAACCTAACCAGTAAGGGGGACAACAAGGGGGGAACAGACTGTTGATTTGCACTGTTGATATGTGCCACTCAGCAGTTCTGTATCTTGCAGAGGGCAAGATACAGTATTTTGTATTTTGCTGTATTTTCTCATAATAACGCGAGCCCCGCACATCCTGGAGTGAGTGCAGCGCGCACACTTGGGCATCACCTACGTAACTCATTCATTTCAGCAGCCTCTCTCTCATCAGCACCTGGTTTCTCTCAGTAACCTGGCTACTTAAGTGCATGTAAACGCAGTCACTGATTTGACACTTATATCTACGCACAATAATTATTCCACAAAATAACACATATGCAGTTCATGAGCCAAGCTAAGTAAAAAATACCCTGCACATGTCCCGATGACGTGACAGACATTACAGGTGCAGTCAGCGTGCGGCTGCTGTCACTCACTCCAAGCTGTGCAGGGCTGACG